AAGAGGCCAAGCGGCCTCCTTACCTACGTGGCATCGAGTTTGGCCTCCCTGTGCTCGTAGTATCTCAGAAAGAACCAATCAGCTKTCGTTGATAAAAGGGCAGAAAATACCGAATTAATTTTAAATTCCTATCCAGAACACTCCAGTGTGTATTTTGAGTTAGCTGTATTTAATTAATGAGAAATACTTCTAATTTCTGTGCAATAGTTTAAGGAAGAGAGAATAAGAAGATGACAACAAAATTTTAGAGAAGGATTGTTGATTTTTTTTGATTCTTGTTATAATAATCTGTGACTGTCCTGTGGTAAGGCTGCAGACCTGATTCATCACCGTTCTATTCTATGCCAGCAAAACTGACTGATTTCCATGCATTAGRCTGGCATGAAGCTGGAATAGTGAGGTGGTGACTCAGGCACTATCGTCGCCTTCTGCAATTGGTATGATGTAAACGAATACACTCAGATTCACATTTGAGGTCTGCAGTGTCTCCGGTTTCCTCCAAACAAAACCGTAGCCCCAGACTGTATGTTTTAGGGAAAGAATGATCTGTGTAATTTAGGGAAGGTGGTTTTATTTCAAACCCTGATGGCTGTGCAGTTTTCCACAGAGCCTTTGATGCTGCCTGTGCAGTTCTCAGAGATGCAGATAGTGTTTGGAAGAGACGTTGCCGTGTGGGGAGGAAAGGGGTGGTGGTTTTCTTCATTTACAAGCTGACCTTCAGCACCATTAGTAAGGATTTGTCCTAAGGAAGAGCACTGTCACCCTGCCCAGGAGCCGGGAACCCTTGCCTTGATGCAGAGCAGCAGGAACCCTTGCCTTGATGCAGAGCAGCATCGCGGCCCATCCCTCCCCAGCAGTCACTGTCGTGGCTCTGCGTTCACAGCTCTGCCTCCTCTCTTTTGCATGGTGCAACTGCCAGGATTGAACTGAAATCAATGTCTTCTGAGTTGGTGCCCGGACCACGCCAACTATTCAGCAAGAGAAGACTCTTCTTTTGAAGAGTTATACACACACACACAGGCATGCAATCAAAACGAGTGCTGTAGAGGACTATTCTTTTATAGGACAGCCATAAATTCAGCTCTCTAATGCTGTGCACAGAAGCGAATCAACAGGAGTCAAAAGAATCCTGCTGAGTAGGAAGAGAATTCTGCAGAACAGAGCGCTCTTTTTTAAGGAAAAGAAATAGTAGAAATCAGTGGAAAAAAAAGGCCCCAGTGTAATTTCATCTGAAGTTGCCTTGTTACAGCTTTTCAAGGCAGTTGCACGGTGTTTGTGGAAAGCTGTGAGGAAGGAGCTGTGTTGGTGGAAAGCTGTGAGGCTCCGGGTACGTGCAGCACCTGAGCGACTCTTCCCTGCCCTCGGGTTCAACCAGCTCTGCTGCTGGGGCCTTTTGTGTCCTCCTAAGCCAACTGATCTTGTTATTACCGTGTAAATACTTAGCGTAATGAAGCCCCCCTCTCCACATTTGATTTTGGGCCAAGAAACAGAATTTCTGGCAATGAAGACACTGTCAAGGTAACTCAGTTTCTTTAATGTACTGCTTATCTTAGCCGAAAGCACCTTGTAGAATAAGCATGGAAATGCTTGTGTATCTAGCTAACTCCTCTCTCCTTGGTGTTTTTACCATTATTTCCTATCTAGACCTTGGTATTACTGTTCCCTGAAGGACCAGCAGTAATTTAGATGCCGATTAGGGTGTGAAATGCGGCAGAACCGTAACATATATAGTCTCTTGTCAGCACTTGGCTAAGGAGGGGAAAAGGCCCTCTAGCTACATTTACCACAGCAGCTGGAAAACTGCAGCTTAATGAGGAACTTTTTCAATGTGAAGATTTTCAGAAACATATACTCATGCTGGCAGGCCTTACCAGGGTATTTTTTAGTAATTAAATGTAATTACATCTATACCCATAGTCAAGTTTTCATAGATRGATACAGGCAAATAAAAACCAGCAAGCAAAAGTCAAATAATTACCTAGATGAGCATTTCATACGCTTGTCTCATTGGATTTCTTTTCCATTTCTTACCTCTGTGGTTTAGTAAAGTGCTCTGGGATGATAGCTGCTCTGGTGAAGTGTAGTTGCGATTTTGCCAAAGGCAGAGCATAAAATTCATTTTGATCTTACCTTGTTTTCTGGAAAGGAAAGAAGAACAGTTTTGATAACAGAAAACAAGAAAATAATACAATGCCTGTCGATTTGTAAGTCATCTAAGATGTGAACTTGCCTTTGGTGGAAACAGAGATAGGAACATTAAAGTCTCCTTTTCTGACCTGYAAAGATGTATATTCCCATCAATCATATTCATCAGATGCCAGCATTTCACCCATTTCTTTCATATTTTTCAGGACACAAACCTTTGCTCGCCAACAKGGCAGTGTTTCCCCAGGGAGGCATTGCCTGTAAATGAATAAAACAAAACCAGTTGGACTGCTTCATAGCACTGGCATCTTCTGATTTCTTTGTAGCTTGACGCTAACGTTGGCAGCATTGCAACTGCAATCCTCGCGTGACAGGCTGGCTCCTGGCTTCTGTTTCATCTACTTTGCTTTCTCCAGTGGCACTGTTTATATAGCGTCTCAGGCCAGGATTATAAAACGGCTCCAGGCCAACCGTGACATTGTGGCCTTAAGTTTTATTCAGAGTCATTTCTCAGAGAATCAGACCATTAAATCATTAAACAAGCCATTAAGTCATTATTTAATGTAAATATTATATGAGTACAGCTCATGGATTATGTCTATAATCTGAGCAAATACAGCATATTGCGGTCATTATTTTTAAGGGACAATTTAGACTCTATGACAAAAAATTACTAAATCCAGAGTCTTATTAGCCCTTTGTGATATTTATCTGAAACTTTCCAGCTTTGTTTTTGCAAGGAAAATTCCAAACTCTTCACATAAAGCTTTCTCCAGCAATTATACTAGCCACTTACTGGGTTTCTTCTATGTAAAAGCTGCCCTCCGTGACCTGTTCTGTTCTTTTCCTCCAGTGCCTGACTGCAATGCTACAGAAAGGGCTCTTATTTGCTCTTGCCAAAGGGAAAGAAAGCAGGGCACTTAGCTGGATGAGATAAGCTTTTGCAGGATGGCTCCACTGTAGAGCCCATGGATGACATCAGAGGCCAAGTCCTTTAAAATATGTCACCTTTTGCCCTGTACAGTTGCTCCAAGTACATTAACGTTATCCACTGGGAGAAGAGAGGCAGATGAATTTTAATCTCATCCTAAAATGACCATAAGGCTTCCCCCAGCATGGTCATGCTGTTTGAACGGTAATGGAGRTTCAGAGAAAATCAACCATCAGTGTCAAGCAGGGACTGGCTCCCTTAGGCTTGGTTGGTTTCTGRCAATATATATGATGGTTTATATGATGATACCTTTGGCGTTGCTCAGCATGTTGTGTGGCATCAGCTTTGCTAATAAACATCCAGGAGAGCTTGCAGGAAGCTAATCCCTTGGTGCTTTTCCATATTTCAGCAGTATAGCTGGATGAAACCTCATGGGTTTCCTTGAAAGCGAGGGGGATTTTGCACTGGATAAAGAGCAAAGCCTAAGGCTCTGATCCTGAAATGGGTRGTCAATGAGATCTGAAGGACACTGAGAAACCAGGGAGTTCATTCTCTTCTGAGAACCAAGCCTGGTATTTGTGATTGGGTTTCAGATCATTTCCTGACCTCTCTCAAGAAGCATTTGTGTTGAGAGTTTAGCAGAGAAATTGCTTTTTGTTATCAATGGATTTGACAGAGATTTAAGGCTGGGAAGTCTGCAGCTTGTTTGGCTTCCCTTGTGTGAATATGTCTGATTTGCATTAGCTAACAGATAATATTCTTTCTTTTCTTGTACCTTCTGGTCTTGTCATATTTTTTGAAGTTTCAGAGGTTTTCTGCCCAAGTCATTTAATGCCAGAAATAACCTGTTGTAGTACTAGCATATACAGCAATGGCACAGATGATGGTGATAGCTTTTCTAGCAAAAAGATTGCAATGGGATTGCAATATCCCATTGACCAAATTGCACCTCTAACCACCTCTGCCTTTCACTTCTTTGCACTGCAGGTTTGTGGTCACCCTACTGAAAACTCTAAAAGCACAAGCTGCAAATGTTAGAGTTGTGCATTGCTTAGAAGTGAAACCAGGAACTAGACAAAACTGCTGATTTTCTGYTTTTGTTCCTTATCCAAGCCTCCCTATCCTTATCCAAGCCTCCCTTTGGGTTTATGAAAATGGTTACTCATTTATACTCATCATGTCTTCATATGATTTACAAAGTATAATAGGTGCTGCAATATTTATTTACAGGTAGGGAAGTCAAGGAAGCTGTGAGTCATCTACTAAAATTAATACAAATTTAAACAACAGGCCTTGTGATTGTCTTGTCTAATTCTGTATCTGCTGGATTGTGCTTTATTTTTTTAAGTACATTTTTAGGAGTATTAGTCATTTTAATGCCTCTGAAGGTGCATAGATATGGTGGTAAAGAAATGATATGACTAGGTTTTCTTTCAAATCTACATTTACAGATTGGTCAGACCTCAGCAGAAATTGCATATGGATATCTGCAAGTGGAAAATTTTAGAAAGGGTGTTGGTATAATGAGAGAAGGATGTCACTAATTTTAGTTACAAAACTTATTTCAGAGCTCCAAACTACTTTGTATCAAAGATCCTACATGATCTTTGTAAAATATCTGAGAAACCATCATCAGAAGAATAACAGTTTCTGACCATTAACTACATCAATGAAACACTTGAAAAATAATTTCATTTTATGCACAAATTGATTAAATGCAGAATGGGAGTTAGGTATAAATGCTTATGAAGAACAAGACCTCAGGTTTTCTAAGAAGTACAAAAGAGGGGAAAAGCTGTAAACCAGCAGAGCAATTTCTTATTTCCAGCAGTGCTGCAGAGTTCAGGGCAGAGTAGCAATACTTAGCACTGACCAAAACACTCTTGTACTAATTTTTCTCTATCCATATCTTTTCCTCTTTTAGAAAAAGAAGAGAAGAGAACAAACATCTCACAAGGAGAAGTAAGTGAAACATAATATAATGCATAATGTATAMTATCATGCATTTATAGTTAAAACCCCTTTGAAACAAGCTCATTCATCCCAATTTTTATTTTTGTTTACATTGTCATGCTGTCTTGAGTAACAGCCMTTCAGGGGGCATCCTTTCCAAGTCACACCTTGGTGACAGAGCAAGCCATAGTGCCCAGAGAGGTCACCTCACCCAGCATTGGCCAGGCTCAAGCTTGCTGGTGCTCTGCAAAGCCATCACAGGCTCTTTGCACTCATTTGCTACACACGCGGCAGATTGCTACCGTTTGCAGAATAGTTAAAAGTTAGCTTTTCCAAYGTCCTTTTCTAATCTCTACCTGCATTGTCCTCACCACCTTCTCCTTCACCGACTGCTTAGAGAAGCAGGCAGAGCTTTAAATAGCAGCAGGCAGTATTGATTGCGTCAAATTTGGATTTGAATACAGACAAAAAAAGGGGAAAAGGATCAATGACCCATCACACAGTAGTTATAAATAGCTTTCTCTTTCAGAAGAAGACAATGTTTTATTCATAAATGACATCATCCCATCCATTATGACGGGATAAACCAACAGGATGACATTTTTGCAAGCACTCATGGGCACCTCGAATGCGAGGCATGTGTTTGCAAGGGTAGCCAGCCTTCACGGGGCGTTTTTCCTGGGCACGAGAGGCAGAGCCCAGCCCGATGCGTGCCGGTGCGGGGGCTGCTGCGGGACATGGGGCTGCAGGACATGGGGCCCGTGCCGCTGTCCTCTCACCGTGTGTTTCCCCGCAGTCGCAGAGCGCCTCCCCGAAGCAGAGGAAGCAGAGCGTGTTCACGCCRCCCGCCATCAAAGGTACCGTTCGGCGTGTGTCCCGTGGCGGGGAGCTGCGGGACAGCCGGGCGGCGTGCGGGCCACGGGCAGCGCCTGGAGCTCCCTCACAGCCTTGCAGAAGTGGCATTAACAAATAAGTTTTGCTTTTTTTTTTTTTTTTTGTAATTTCTCAATGCCATTATTTCAGAATATTTCAGAATATTTCAGAATATTTAAGGTTGGAAGGGACCTCTACAGATCATCTAGTCCAACCTTCCTGCTCAAGCAGGCAC